AAAGAGCCCATTCCAAAATGTTACATACTGGGCGCCTGGGTGGCTCAGTTGGTTGGGCGTCTGCCTTCGGCTCAGGTCATGGTCCCAGGGTCCTGGGATTGAGCCCCGCATTGGGCTCCCTGCTCCACAGGAAGCCTGCTTCTCCCTCTCCCACTCCTCCAGCTTGTGTTCCTGCTCTCACTGTGTCTCTCTCTGTCAAATAAATTAAATCTTTAAAAAAAAAAAAAATCTTAAAAAACAAAACAAAATGTTACATACTACCTGATTCCATTTATATAACTTTTATTTTTAACTGTGGTAAAATACACCTAACATAAAATTTACCATGTTAACCATTTTAAGCATACAGCTCAGTGGTATTAAGTATATTTACATTTACATTATGCAACCATCAACACCATCTCCAGAATTCTTTTCTTTTTATAAAACTGAAACTCTGGGGGCACCTGAGTGGCTCAGTCAGTTAAGCACCTGACTCTTGATTTCAGCTCAGGTCATGATCTCAGGGTCGTGAAGTCCGGCCCCGAGTTGAGGCTCTGCTTGGGTTTCTCTCTCTCTCTCTCTCCCTCTGCCCCTCCCCCCACTCTGTCTCTTTTTCTCTTTCTCTCTAAAATAAATAAATAATCTTAAAAAAAAATAAACCTGAAATCTGTATCCATTAAACAATAACTCCCCATCCCTCCCTGTGCCAGTCACTGGCAACCACAAACTTACCTCCTATCTCTATAAATTTGAGAATTTGACTTCTCTAGGTACCTCATATAAGTGGAATCATATAGTATTCATCTTTTTCTGTCTGGCTTCTTTCACTCAAAATAATGTCCTCAAGTTTCATCCATGTTGTAGCATATGTCAGACTTTCCTTCCTTTTTAAGGCTGAATAATATTCCATTGTATGTATATACCCCATTTTGTTTACCCAATCATCTGTTGATAGACACTTGGGTTACTTGATTATCTTCATTTTATTTATTTATTGGACAGAGAGAGACACAGCAAGAAAGGAAACACAAGCAGGGGGTGCGGGAGAGGGAGAAGCAGGCTTCCCACAGAGCAAGGAGCCCGACGTGGGGCCAGATGTGGGGTCCGATGTGGTGCTCGATCCCAGGACCCTAGGATCCCGACCTGAGCCCAAGGCAGACCCTTAATGACTGAGCCACCCAGGCGCCCCTCTGTTGTTGTTGTTTTTATAATAGACATCCTAATCAGTGTAAGATGTGTGACAATTTTTTAAAGTTTTATTATATCTTTTTAAAAGGTTTTTTTTTTTTAAGATTTTATTCATTGGGGCACCTGGGTGACTCAGTCGTTAAGGTCGGCCTTCGGCTCAGGTCGTGATCCCAGGGTCGTGGGATCAAGCCCCACATCGGGCTCCCTGCTCACTGGGAAGCCTGCTTCTCCATCCAACTCCCCCTGCTTCTCCCGCTCCCACTCCCCCTGCTTGTGTTCCCTCTCTCCCTGTGTCTCTCTCTGTTGATTTTATTTATTTATTTGACAGAGAGAGACAGAGCAAGAGAGGAAACACAAGCAGGGGGAGCGGGAGAGGGAGAAGCAGGCTTCCCGCCGAGCAGGGAGCCCGATGTGGGGCCCGATGTGAGGCTCTATGTGGGGTTCGATCCCAGGACCCTGGGATCGTGACCTGAATCCAAGGCAGAGGCTTAAAGACTGAGCCACCCAGGCGCCCCTCTGTTGTTGTTGTTGTTTTTTATAATAGACATCCTAATCAGTGTAAGATGTGTGATAATTTTTTTAAGTTTTATTATATTTTTTTTTAAAGTTTTTTTTTTTAAGATTTTATTTATTGGGGCGCCTGGGTGGCTCAGTCGTTAAGGGTCGGCCTTCGGCTCAGATCATGATCCCAGGGTCCTGGGATCAAACCCCGCATCGGGCTCCCTGCTCAGTGGGAAGCCTGCTTCTCCCTCTCCCACTGCCCCTGCTTCTCCCGCTCCCACTCCCCCTGCTTGTGTTCCCTCTCTCGCTGTGTCTCTGAGAGAGACACAGCGAGAGAGGGAACACAAGCAGGGGGAGCAGGAGAGGGAAAAGCTGACTTCCTGCCTAGCAGGGAGCCCAATGGGGGCCTAATGTGGGGCTCGATCCAGGATCGATCCCAGGAGCCTGGGATCACTACCTGAGTCCAAGGCAGACGCTTATGACTGAGCCACACAGGCGCCCCTCTGTTGTTGTTGTTTTTAATAAGAGACATCCTAATCAGTGTAACATTTTTTTAAAGTTTTATTATATTTTTTAAAAGGTTTTTTTTTTAAGATTTTATTTATTGGGGCTCCTGGGTGGCTCAGTCGTTAAGGGTCTGCCTTCGGCTCAGGTCGTGATCCCAGGGTCCTGGAAAAAGCCCCGTATCGGGCACCCTGTAGAGTGGGAAGCCTGCTTCTCCCTCTCCCACTCCCCCTGCTTCTCCCACTCCCACTCCCCCTGCTTGTGTTCCCTCTCTCGCTGTGTCTCTCTCTGTCAATTAAATAAATAAAATCTTGATTGACAGAGAGAGACACAGCGAGAAAGGAATCACAAGCAGGGGGAGTGGGAGTGGGAGAAGCAGGCTTCCCGCCGAGCAGGGAAATCTTGATTTTATTCATTTATTTGACAGAGAGAGACACAGCGAGAAAGGAAACACAAGCAGGGGAGTGGGAGAGGGAGAAGCAGGCTTCCCGCCGAGCAGGGAGCCCGATGTGGGGCCCGATGTGGGTCTTGATCCCAGGATCCTGGGATCATGACTTGAGCTGAAGGCAAACGCTTAACGACTGAGCCACCCAGGCACCCCTCCTTATTATTATTTTTTAAAGTTTTTAATTTAAGTAATCTCTACACCCAACATGGGCCTCGAATTTACAATCCTGAGATCGAGAATCCCATGCTCTACCGACTAAGCCAGCCAGGCACCTTTTTTTTAGATATTAATGTTATTTTCCAGCTGATTGCTAAAATTATACATGTGTGTATACATATATATATTTTTTTTTTTTTTTAACTCATTTAATCCCTGAGTCAACCCCGTGAAAAGAGCTACTCCTCTTTTATCAAGTGAGGAAAAGGAGGGGCCTGGAATTACAGGAACTTGCCCAAGGCACACAGTGTCTGAGCTGGAACCAGGACTGCAAGCCAGATTCCCAGAGTCCCTGCTCCTGGTCTTTTCACTCCCTCCCGCTGACCTTCAGGAAAGGGAGGCCCGGGGGGTTGAGTGGGGCCCGACTAGGACTCGATCCTGGTTAGCCTTAGTATCTGGGACAGTGGCTAGCCCAAGGAGATGAGCAGAGTGGCCCGGAAAAAGGCGGCCAGCAAGAACATAGGCAGGAGCCCTGCTGACAGGGGCTTGAAGGATGCTGCAGAGGAGGAAGGAGCCATGATGTGGGGGCAGAAGGAGGGGGTGATGTACCAGCACCTCTGCTGAAGCCAGTGGACCCCGAGAGTGCAGCCAGGCCTCCATCCCCAGAGCCTGGAACCAGCCCTGGGAAGGGGGGAGTAGAGAGTATCGGGCCTTTGGTCTAAGCCCTTAAAGGCCTCCCAGGGTTGTCCCTCCTTACCCTAGGCTGCCATGGACCCAGGACGGGCAGGAGAGGGCCCAGTGTGTAGACTGGGCTTCTGGAGGACGCAGGTGATACTGTACCCCACTTCCTTGTGCTCATGACTCCAGTCTTGGGAACTGGATATGGGGCACAAGGCCTACCCCGTTCCCTGCTCTTCCCAGTTCCTGGGGCTGAGGGCCCGGCACAGAGGGGGTTAAGGGCCCTGGAACCTTTGCCTGGCGGAGGGGGGGCACGGGGAACTGTCACGAGGAGCCTTGTCTGGCCCGATAATCCAGGCAGCCTATCTCTTCCATAGCAGCTGTGAGGCAGACAGGTTGTCCCGGTAGGGAGGGAGGCAAGCAAGGGCCTGGCTGATGGCGGGAAGGATTTGAGGAGGGAGGGACACCCAGGCTCCTTGGGGATCCTTTCCCACCCCATAGCCACCTTTGGGACTGTGCCTGCAGGCCGGGGGTCAGGGCCCGGGTCTGAACGTGGGGGTTCCCACTGACCCAGAGACTAGGAGGGGGAGCTGATGAACAGACTCAGGGAGGTTTGATGGGGAAGTTTCTATTTCTGCCTCAGTGCGGGCCTGGGCAGGGGTGTGAGGGCTGCACTAGCACGTGGGTCTGCATAGGCGTCGGAGCGAGCACAGGGGCTCCCACGGGCTCCTGCCGCACTGGGGAGGGCCAGCAGGGAAAGCCACTGCAAAGCCAGAAGGGAAGGAAATCCGACATTTGTGGAGCTCCTACAATATGGGAGCCAGGCTCTACCTAGAACTTTCCCCCTCTACTGTCTCATTTCATCTGCACACCAATCATGGAAAGAAGGCGTTTTAAGCCCACGTATCTGATAAGGAAGCCAAGGCTCCAAGAATGCACAAGGGCCCGGGCTACCCGGCAGGCAAGAGTGGAGTCCAGGGTCTCACAAATCCGGAGCTGTGCTTTTCCCTTTGGGCTCTGAGTCCCTCCGGGGCAGGTGGTCTGGAAGAAAAGGAAGAATTCTAAGGCACGAGCCCGGAACTATACAGGATAAGGCTCTGGTTCCAGCCAAGGACGAGGCCAGGGCATGTGCGCTCCAGGCAAGGGCCCGGCTCACAAGAAGCAGGAGTCAGAAGAGAGAGAGAGGATTACTGCTGGGTTGGGACAGCTGTGGAAGAGGCTCAAAAAAGGGTTGGACAGGGGCGCCTGGGTGGCTCAGTCATTAGGCATCTGCCTTCAGCTCAGGTCATGATCCCAGGGTCCTGGGATGGAGCCCCGCATCAGGCTCCCTGCTCCATGGGAAGCCTGCTTCTCCCTCTGCCAGTCCCTCTGCTTGTGTTCCCTCTCTCGCTATGTCTCTCTGTCAAATAAATAAGTAAAATCTTAAAAAAAAAGGGGGGGGGGGTTGGACAGGTGGGAGAATCCGAGCAAGTGGGAGTGAGGAGGGCATCCTGAGTCACGCGGAAGCTTCACACACATTTTTTCACCAAATTTCCCCAGGGTCTCATGAGGTATTATTGTCATCCCCATTTTAGAGCTGAGGAGACCAAGGCTCAGAGAGATGAGGTGACACGCTCAGAATCATATTACTGGTAAGTGGCCAAAACTCAGGTCTGATTCTCTTGCCTTTGAAACTCAAAAAGTTGGGGCGCCTGGGTAGATCAGTCGGTTAAGCATCTGCCTTCGGCTCAGGTCATGATGCCAGGGTCCTGGGATCAAGCCCCACATCGGGCTCCCTGTTCAGTGGGGGGAGTCTGCTTCTCCCTCTGCCCCTCACCCCACTCAAGCTCTCTCTCAAATAAATAAATAAAAACTTAAAAACAAAAACCTCAAAAAGTCCTCACAGAAACACACACAAAATCCACCTCATTCATAGCAAGTTTGTGCACAAAGCCTGGGGCCTAGAGTCTGGAGAGCAGAGTTGTAGTCCTGTCTCATCTCCCAATTTACCAGATCACGCAGGCCATGTGTTTACTCCAGGAGTCTCAGTTTCTCTACGATAAAATTGGCCCATAGGGGCATCTGGCTGGCTCAGTCAGCAGAGTGTGTGACTCCTAATCTCAGGGTCATGAGTTTGAGCCCCACATTGAATGTAGAGATTATTTAAAAATAAAATCTTTGGGGCGCCTGGATGGCTTAGTCGTTAAGCATCTGCCTTCGGCTCAGGTCATGATGCCAGGGTCCTGGGATCAAGCCCCGCATCGGGCTTCCTGCTCTGCGGGAAGCCTGCTTCTCCCTCTCCCACTCCCCCTGCTTATGTTCCCTCACTTGCTTGTGTCTCTCTCTGTCAAATAAATAAAATCTTTAAAAAATAATAAATATAAAATAAATAAAAATATCAAAAAAATAAAATTGGCGTGTAGTCATCTTTTGGAGACTGATGGACGGACATTGGCAAAGTCCCCAGGGAAGCCACAGCTAAGACCCCACCGCATCTGTGTTCGTTGTGCGACACACACGCGTGCCCATGGGGCTGAGCGTCCCAGAGAGTGTAAGGGAGCGTGCCGGGTCCTTGAGCTTTTAGTAGCACGGTCTGTGGGGTCAGCATCTTTCCAGCGCAAACGTGCTCTTTGAGCACCTCGCAGGATGAGACCCTTGAGGGGTGCTGGGACCACAGAGAAGAATCCCACAAGGTGCCTCTCCCGGGGTAGTTGGGGACAAATAAGGGATCAGATGAATTCTCCGTGTGATCAGGAAAACCGAGCAGGGTCAAAGCCTGGACTTAAGGGGGCAGGTGTCAGGGAGGGTTAGGAGAAGCTTCACAGGCTGGCCACGGTGAAACCGAACAGTCATCTCTGATAGGTCCCCCAGATCTCAAGCCCCAGTCTATCACATAGAGAATAAAGATTAGAACAGTGTTCCAGCTTTTCTTTCTCACACCTGGTAAGCCCCTAGGGTTACACCAGCCTCTTGCTTTGGGTTCCCAGCATGTAAAGCAAAACAGGAAAGCAAGAACGCCCGGAACTTCTCAAAGTCCTTGGTTCCAGGATGAGTTTTGCTGTTGATTGTACTTTGAGTGGGACACTAGTGACCCTATGATTTGGCCACCATCGTTGTGCAAAACTGTCAACTCCATGGAACTTAGGAGAGTAACGAAGAGGGAATTGAGAGTAATTTACTAGCTGAATCTATTTTTTTTAGTATGTGTGCTGTGTATTTCTGAGCGTCTGTGTATATGTAAGCATGACACGTGTGTGTGTCCGTGTGTCTGTGAGTACCTGCAGCTGCTGTTCTTCTTAGGGTCATGGGTTCCCAGGTGTGGAGAGGTAGAGGGAACACTGAAGCTTTGGGGGGCAATTCGCTCCCCTTCTCTACGCCTCGGTTTCCTCTCCTCTATAAAGGGATTACTTGAATTCCATGACTTTGAAGGATTCTTGCAGCTCTGACCATCCTTAACTTTGTCATTCACCATATGGTTTAAGGAGTTCATCCAAAGATCAAAATAAGAGTCAAAGGCTTGAAGCTGCTGTGGCAGGGATTGGAATTAGACGTGAGAAGGTTAAGGTCCCAGACCAGTCCACACTGACCTCAGGAGAGCCAATGGAGCTCCTGATCTGAAGCAACAGTTGTTAGAATGCAAGGCCACGGGCGCCTGGGTGGCTCAGTCGGTTAAGCGTCTGCCTTCGGCTCAGGTCATGAGCCCAGGATCCTGGGATCGAGCCCCGCCTCAGGCTCCCTGCTTCTCCCTCTCTCTTTGCTGCTCCCCCTGCTTGTGCTCTCAAATAAATAAATAAATAAATAAATAAATAAATAAATAAATAAAATTTAGAGTGCAAGTCCAAGGACCTGGATTGTGTCCCCCACCCCCATGCTGGCCAGGGAAGGGGCAGAGTCTCCACTGGACTTCCAGAAGGGTTCTAAGGAGGCAAAGGGATGGAAGGGCTGCCATCCAGGAGACAGCTCTGGGCGGGAAGTGTCCTCGGGTCCTCGTGGCCCCTGCAGGCTCCCGATAAGCAGAAGGGCCTCCACCCTGATAGCCCCAAGTCCACTTATCAGGGTCCCCAGACTACCCCACCCAGGTTCAGACTCTGCTCCAGCCCCACACCCTGATGACAGTACCCTCCACCCCAGCCAGGGCCAAAGCCACAGGATCTCTGGCTGGCTGAGATATCTCTCTGTTCTACCTTCAGGACCCCTGGTTTCTGCCCATGTTCACCTTTGGTCTTAGGACTAAGCAGGAACTAGGCAGAAGCCTAGGCAATGAGTGGCATAAATCTTGGCCTCGGTGCATGAAGCCTTTACTCTGGTGAAGGAGCCTGACCTGTCTGTGGGGTCCCTGAGTAGAGGTGGCACGGCAGGAGGGGTCACAGGACAGGAAAGGAGGCAAGGTGCAGACATACGATAATTTCTCACCTGGCTAGAGTGCCTGGGTTTGTAAATGTTTCTCAGCCACATTTCTCAGTTCTTACAACATGGTGAACCATGTGTTACCACCAAAGCTCAGAGAAGTGGCACTTTGCCTCTAGTCAAACAGCTAGTGAGTGAGACAGAGGAAAGAAGGGAAGGACACCAACATTGGTTCCACAGGTGCTAGGTCTGACCCAGGAGTTTGAGATGAGCACGCACATGACCCTGGTCACCCCCATAGGAGCTAGGGATGGATTGCTCCCATTGCACATACAAGAAAATTGAAGCTGAGAGCACTCCATCTAAGGTCAAGGTCACAGAGCTGGATGTGGGGGGCTGTGGGGACTGTCACTCAGGGCCTGTCCTTCCTCCCTCCCTCCCTTTTTCTTTCTTCCTTTCTAAGATTTTATTTATTTGAGAGAGACAGAGATAGTGACAGAGATAGCAAGAGAAAGCATGGCAGGGAGAAGCAGAGTCCCCACTGAGCAGGGAGCCCAGCCGCAGGGCTCGATCCCAGGATCCTGGGATCATGACCTGAGCGGAAGGCAGACGTTTAACCAACTAAGCCACATACGTGCCTCTTAAGATTTTATTTTTAAGTAATCTTTTTTTTAAGATTTTATTTTTTATTTGTGAGAGAGAGAGAGAGAGCACAAGCAGGGGGAGCTGCAGGCAGAGGGAGAGGGAGAAACAGGCTCCCCAGTGAGCAGGGAGCCTGATACGGGACTCTGATCCCAGGACCCTGAGATCATGACTTGGGCCGAAGGCAGATCTTGACTGAGCCACCGAGGCGTCCCTATTTTTAAGTAATCTTTACACTCAACGTGGGGCTTGAACTTACAACCCCAAGGTCAAGAGTCACATGCTTCACTGACTGAGCCAGCCTGGTGCCCCAGGGCCTGTTATTTCTAAACCTGGGCTCTCTCAATGGCCTTGAGCAGCTTTCAAGAATATTCCATGAATGGCATTTGGCTGCTTCATTTGGCTAAGTGCTTTGCCAGGAGCTAGTCACCTAGCTCACAGTTCTGAACTGGGGACTGTTGTTCCTGCTGTCTACAAGAACAGGAAGGCTCTGAGAGAAAAAGACTTGCCTAAGAGCTCCAGTTTTATTTGCCTGCCTCCCCAGGCCAAAGTTTTTCTCCTCCCCTACATCACACTGAGTTTAGCTCCATGTCAGACATTTGACATGATTGGCCAATAACCAGGCCCCTGTGATTATTTGCCTAAATGATTAATCACACAAATAAATGAGCCCATAACAAGTAGATTTAACTAGGCTGCAGAGGTGTTACTTACATATGAAGAGGGAATAGGAGTTAACTAGGTAAGAAAGGAGGGAAGATTGTGCCAGAGGGAAGAGCAGGGCGCCTTGCTGCCTCAGTCGGGGCGGGGTCGTGGGGTCAAGCCCTGCATTGGGGTCTGCACTCAGCTGGGAGTATGCTTAAGATTCTCTCCCTCTGGGGCACCTGGGTGGCTCTTTTGGTTAAGCGACTGCCTTCGGCTCAGGTCATGATCCTGGAGTCCCGGGATCAAGCCCCACATCAGGCTCCCTGCTCAGCAGGGAGTCTGCTTCTCCCTCTGACCCTCCCCCCATCATGTGCTCTCTCTCTCTCTCATTCTCTCTCTTTCAAATAAATAAATAAAATCTTAAAAAAATAAAATAAAATAAACAGAGCTCCCTCCCCCATTCTGAGAAGTCTCTACACCAGGAATCTTGCCTAGCCCAGAGGCAGACAACTGAATACCGCCAGGCTCACACTCTAAGTGGCTTGAGCTCTGAACAGGCCCCTACCCATTCTTATGCTGGCTCTCAGAAGAGCTTGAATTCCCTGCCCTCAAATGACTCACAGAGGACCCCGTCCACCCAGGGGAGCTTGCCATAGCAGAGGTAGCCTAGGTCTACCCTCCTTGGGCTCAGCGTAAACATAGGCAGGGGCCCAGGAACTGAAATTTAAGCCTGAGCTTGCCCCCAGAATCCAGCTGTCAGGACCCTTTCTGCTTTACAGAGGTTCAACTAACAGTTCCACCGCCACCAGCACCACCACCACGACTGCCACCACCAGCTGGGCTACAGCCAACAATTAAACCCTGAAGGATGCGGTGAGGCTGTTCCTCCTCCTCCCAGGCCCAGCAGAGAGATGATCAGCTTCACGGGGAGAGGAGTGAAAGGCAGACCCTAGCCTTAGCAAGGGCCATAAAATTTATGGGAGAAAGGGCCTAGTAGAGAGAGGGGCCAGTGACCCTTGTTCCAAGGAGTCCAGCAGGGAAAGGGTTAAGAGGCGGGGCTTTCTAGAACCAGGGGAAAGTGCCCCACCCAGGGGAGGGGCCAGTGGATTAAAAGGCCATCAGCTTGAGTGGAGAGGCAGGGTCAGGGCCTCCTTACCTCTGAAGGCCTCCCCAGTCTGCAGTTCCAGCCCCAGGTAAGTACCCTCTCCTGGGCCTGTCTGTCTGCTTGTTGGTCTGAACAGAGGGAACCTTCTGCCTCACTATGTGATCTCTAGCTTGTTTAATTCTGGCACTGGGTCCCCAAGGAGATCTCAACAGACCCTAGCTCTGCAGGGTTCTCTGGGCCAGACCCCTTCCCTACCTGACTTGGGCTGCCGTTGACCACAACCATCAAGGAGCTGCTGGCCCAGGAGCTATGGAGTGGGGAGTGGGAAGCTGTGTGTGTCCAGCACTGACCTGTCCTGCTCTGCCCCAGCCCCTGGCCCTCCCTGCCACAGTGCTCTCCAAGCCGTGCTCCCTGTGCCTGCTGCAGGGCCCTGGCTGGGATATCATCATATACTGTAAGTTTGCGATGAGATACTACAGTATAGATGATGTACTAGTCCGGGTCCCCACAGCTCTGGAGCCAGACGAGGGCCAGGGAAGCCGCAAACCCGCTGGGCTCGCCGCTCAGCGCATCACAGCCTGCTGACCGCCGGGACACTTGGGGATGGCGAGGAAACCGTTACCATTACTGAGTTTAGTAATGGTAATGGTTCTCTTGCTGTACCCAGAACACGTGCCAAGAAGAGCGCTCAGGACCCTGGAACAGACCACTGGGAGGGAGGGAGACTCCAGTTCAGACAACAGGGTGGGGGTGAGGGAATGGGTTTTCTCTTTCCTATTATAAGAAACAAAGATGAGGGCGCCTGGGTGGCTCAGTCGGTTAAGCGTCTGCCTTCGGCTCAGGTCATGATGCCAGGGTCCTGGGATCGAGCCCCGTGTCGGGCTCCCTGATCAATGGGGAGTCTGCTTCTCCCTCTGCCCCTCTTCCCACTCGTTCTCTCAATCTCTCTCTCAAATAAATAAAATCTTAAAAAAAAAAAAGAAATAAAGATGAGAACCAGTATGCTTGTTTTTTAATTTTATTAGCATCCAAGACTGGGGAGAGGGATGGAGTGAGCGGCACTATCTCACTTAGGACCCACAGGTTCTTACGCGCAGCTTTAAGGTAGAGGAACTGAGTGGACAGGAAAAAGCACTCTCTGCTAAAACTGGCAACTCAGGGAAGAACTCTGGGTTCGCTGCCAGCCAGAAGCAGGGTGGCATTGTTCCTACCAAAGAGCCAACTTCTAGACCTAAGCAGCTGGGACTGCAGGCAGAGGAACGACCTGGGAACTGAGCTAAGATAAGTTACTTCCTCCAACAGACGTGGTCAGGCAGGGGCTAGGCAGACTCAGGAAGGCCAAGCCAGCTGCCAGTCAGGCAGGCAGGCAGGCCGTGCCCACACCTCTCACCAGTTCCTGTCCCTGGGCAGGGGCCGTTCTGGTCAGTGGCCCTGCCAGCAGCTCTGGCTGAGACACCCTGGGCAAGGTAGCAGAGGGTGGTCACTTGAGAAGCCTCACAGAGAGGCGGAGCCGAACATCGCAGAGGAAGATGTCCATGAGATCGCGGCCCACCTCCTGTGCAATCTGGGAGATCAAGTGCCCCTTTGGACCAATCAGGATCCTCTGAGGGTGGGGTAAGAGAGAGACACACACACAAGCCGGTTCTCAGGGCTCCCAAGCAGTGGAGGAAGAACCCCTGCCTAATGCCCTGGTCCTTTCTCCAAGCCTAACCCGGCTTACCACATGAGATTCTTTGGGCACCAGAAGCTTCTGTTCGATCACCAGCTCCCCGCTTGGCCCTTCCTCCCACATCACTGTCCTCTGCACAGGGAGACATGATTAGTCAGACAGACCCATATCCCTACCTCTCCGGGCCCCAGGTGTCCTGTCTTGGGTGTGTGCATGGTGAAGAGCCCCCAGATTCCTTCATTGTGCCCGCACCTGCTGCACACTATAGGGCATCTCCTGGGGCAGGTGTTCTAGGAGCTTCTCTCGGATGATGTTGGCACAGATCTCCTCAGGCGTCTGGCTAGTGAGGACTCCACTGTGGAATTCCCAGGGTCCTGGCCGGGCCTGTGCCAGGAGGTAATGCTGTGGGTACAGAGGGGGGTAGGTGGGCAGCTCAGTCCCAACCAAGACTTTCCTACTCATTCTCACTACCAGGAGGAACTCTGAGGCTTATCTTCACATGGCAGAAATCAGAGGCCAGGCTACGGCCAAGGCTAACTGACCTTTAGTGTTTTCACATCCTCCTGGCTTAGGGCTGACAACATGAAGATCTCCTGGAAGTGGGGCCAGCCAATCCTCTGAGGGCCTCCCACAGACTGTGTTTTTGGGCCCTTAGCTGCTGGGCTAGGGCAAGGAGTGCCAGGCTGTGAGCGAAGGGCCTGCCGCATCCTGAGCTTCTTGCCATTGACCACACCTTCAGTAAGGGCTGCTGTGAGCTCCAGGAGAACAGACTTCTGCTTCAGGCAATCTACCTGGGCATGGAGGACGGGCAGAGGGGTGTGTGGTCAGTGAGATGGGCACCATGGAGGAAAGCAGACCCCTTCTTCAGGTAGGTGGTGCTCACCTTGTTCATGACAAGGATGCTAGGGACTTGGGAGAACTGGGTCAGGCACTGGAGCACCTGGGGCCTGAGCTGGTTCCGAGTCCACTTGTCTGAGACATCCACAAGGACCACAACTAGAAGGTGGCAGGGTGGGCAGCGGGACAAATATATGACCACTCTCTCCCCACCCCCCCCAAAATGTCCATGATATGGGCTCTGGGCCAACCTCCATCCCCCAAACTACCAGGAACAAGAGGTCGTGACCATGTAAATTGGGCTTCAGATTCCCATCATGAGTCTAACCCAGATCAGCAGATTCCATGCTCTTCCATGGATCTTCCAACAAAGAAAGCTCCAGATGGTGCCTGAGGGACAGACAAACTTAGGTCAGGAAGGGTCTTATGACTGATATATTCCTAATGAGGGATAGGGTATGATAAGGGGGTTTTCCAGCCCCTCTAATGGAATCTCCTCACCTTCTCCTCAACACCTTTCCCTCAACAAACCTGTTTCCACAGCTATTACCTTTTCTGTTTAACAGGGCTGATGAGGCCAGGTGTGTCAAGTAGAATCTAAAATCAGGAAAGAGAGATGCCCACCCCCCCCAGATGGAACGATTATAATTGGCGGGTGAGAGAAAGGCCACCATTGATGTCAGAAGCCTGCACCCACTCTAGGATGACTTTAGATTTTTACCCTCCAGTTTTGTTTTAATTCTAGATAGGATCCAAGAAAAAGATGATGACTGTGAATACATGAAAGATTAGGAAGGATTAAAGAGGGAATGAGATCTTTCTGACTAGATGCCAGAGGGGGGAAGTAGAGAGAACTGCACTAGGCCTAACGAAAGAGGAGACCCCCTTCCCTCAGAAAAGTGAATTTAACATTTTCTTCAGGTCTAACTGTAAGGGAGACCCTCTTAAGTTCACCCGCTGTCCAGTTTGCTGGACTTCCTTTGCAGGTACCCACCACCTGGACCTCTTTCTCTGTGATGACCCCCAGAGCTTGGCAGCGAGTGGTGTGCACCTTCTTGGAGACAGGGAACACCTGCCAAAAACAAAGAAGTCCCATGAGATCCCAGATCACTGTAGGACAATTCATGAAGAAAGAGAAAAAAGTAAGAGACGAAAGGGGTGGGGTTGGGGGGGGCGGTAGCATCAAGGATGCAGCATACTTTCCGACCCAGCAGCTGGTTGGAGAGTGTTGACTTCCCTGCATTCGGGGCACCCAGGAGGACCACTCTTAGGACCCTGGAGTTCTCAGGCATGTCGGGACGATGGACCAAGAGGAGATCCTGCTCATCTGTGTGTGGGGGCAGGAGGGGAGTGAAAGGTAGTGCAACCTGGATCCCTTATCAGGTGCTCAGTCCTACCCGCCCACAAAGGAAGTAGGGCATAAAAGATAAGTGTACCAGGTTGAAGCTGAGACCTGGCTTTGAGACTTAGCTTGTCCATTAATTTGTTTATATGATTGTATCAAATTCTCTAACTTCTCTAAGCGCCTTAGTTTTCTCACATGTGAAATGGAGATAATATTAACAATACCTACTTAAAACCTTCTTTTGACAATTGGCAATTTTGTAGAAACAATCAACACAATGCCTGGCATTTAATACTCAATTACTGTGTGGAATTGTACTGTGCCTGATAAATGCATGTACATGTGTGAAAGTACAGCTAGTTCAGATAATGCCAGAAATCCCTCCAGCTCGGACAATCTCACCCTACTAAAGGTGTTATGAAGGCTCTGCAAGCTTTCTCAGTATTTTTAAGTATTGGTTTCTTATAATACTGCATTACAATGACCAGTTTTTGTGTGCAGCCTCCCTACCAGAGTGTAGTCTACACTACTTGAAGAACAGAGGGTGCTATTTCCTAGGTGTAACTCAGTCTCTTGACAAGTAGATTGGGCACTTATGGGACCAAGTTTGCTTCCCATCTCGGGGCAGAGAGCCACAATTCTGCCTTGCCTGTGGCCCTGAATCTCTTGCTCTTTGTGTGCGTCTCTGTGACCACATCGGTTCCCTCTGGCTCCCAACTCTTAAAACCTGGTATCTCTCTCCTGTGAGATCCTTCAAGGCTCGCCTCTCTCTCGAGGCCTCAAGATCGTTTTCCACAATATAGGACCAATGATGACATCCCCACGGACTGAGCAGTTTCCCCGACCCGGAACTTTCACTGCTAAAACCGTGACAATCCGGGACAAGCCTATCCGGGCCCTTTACCTCTGTGCATGGACACGCCGGGAGGGTGAGAAGTCAACGAACCGTCTGGCTGAGAGAGTCCAAGGAAGCGGTCCAAGGCTGAGCTCTGGCCATAACGGCGAGAGGCAGAGGCTAGGCGGGGACCAGAGAAAGCGGAGCCCGCGAAACAGGACACGCACCTCCGCTGCCAGTCAAAGAGCGAGGAGACCCGGGCTCCCCACTCCCTCACGGCATCGGGGCCCAACTGCCGGACCCTTAACACCGCCCCAAAGAGCGTAGCCGCGCGCCGGCTGGGGGCAGCCATTACAGCCGCAAGGCACTCCGGGAACTGACCAAGAACTCACCTACGATTGGATAGAGCGGTGGAAAAGCGAGCGAGCAGGACAGAGCTAGATTGGCCCAGAGTGCGGAGATGCACGGGATGTTGGAGGTGAGATGGGGGGGGGACCCCGCTCTGGAGACTGACCGAGGCTAAGGAAAAGGAAAATGTGTATTTAGAGTTTGCGTGGACATGATGATCGTTTTGGACTCCCATACACATCCTGTTTTCTTCTTCTCCTGCCAAAGTTTTGTAAAAGGTCCTTCTAGCCCAGGCTTCTGAGAGACTACATCTCCCATGAGGCCAAGCGGCAGAAAGCTTTCTCAGTTTCTGACTTCTCCCAGCTGGAAAAACTGACGCATCGAAGGAGGAAAGGTCGTGGGAGCCAGAACGGGTGCTTTTTAGTTCTCCCTGGTTTCAGGCTTGCAGGTTCTCTCCCAGTATCCCTCTGGCTTGGCCTAGCGGTCCGCAGCGTTCTCCGACAGTCTGCATCACTGCTTCATACGAGCCTCCTGTAGGGAGTACTCCTTGGGTCGGTGTTCCCGAGGAGCAGCGGACCCGATTTCCCATCTATGAACCTCCGTTACTACCTCCTCCCTGAGGCCATTCCTTTCTGAAGAAAAACCAGAGGTTCTGTAAAGGGGAAGACGCTGCGTAGTCACCTACAATCCCCCAGATTGCCTTAGAGGCCTGAGGAACTTGATATAAGTCGTTTTGCGGCCTTAAGCCTTAGTCATTCTTTGAAGCCTCTCAGTCAAACTCTTAAAATTGAGAGAGACATGTTGCGGGGATTGGAGGGATGGGGATTTATTCATATGCTATGTACAGGCCATGTCCAGGTGCGGGGATACATGAATTAAGAAAATGGAGGGACGCCTGGGTGGCTCCGTCGGTTAAGTGTCTGCCTTCCACTCAGGTCATGATCCCAGGGTCCTGGAATGGAGCCCCACATTGGACTCTCTGCTCCGTGGGGAGCCTGCTTCTCCCTCTGCCTCTGTCTCTCATGAATAAATAAATAAAATCTTAAAAACAAAACAAAACAAAAGAATATGGACAAAAATCTCTTTCACAGGACTTGTGTCCTGGAGGCCGTGTGTGTGAGAGAGAGAGAGAGAGAGATGTTCATGACCTGACAGGAACAGTTCAGGTAGCATGGTCTAGGTGAAAACCTAAATGGATTGAGTTTAAGAGAGAATGGGAGATGGGGCACCAGGCTGCTCAGTCTGTAGAATATGTGGCACCTGCTCTCAGGCTTGTGAGTTTGAGCCCTACCTTGGGTTGGGCATAGAGCTTACTTAAAAAGAGAGAGAGGGGCGCCTGGGTGGCCCAGTCAGTTAAGCATCTGCTATCGGCTCAGGTCATGATCCCGGGGTCCTGGGATGGAGCCCCCTGTCCGGCTCCCTGCTCAGTGGGGAGCCTCCTTCTCCCAATCCCTCTGCCTGCTGCTCCCCCTGCTTGTGCTCTCTCTCTCTATCAAATAAATAAAATCTTTAAAAAAGAGAGAGCAAATGAGAGGAGAGGTAATTGAGGAAAGCCAGGAAAAAAATATATATATATCTTTCCAGGGGAACAGAGCAAAAGGGAGTGGTAACAGAAGAGGGGGAGAGAAGTCGGGTTAAGAAAAGATTTTCTTTTCTTTTTAAAGATCAGAGATTTTTGTTTGCTCATGGCAGTGACCAGGTGGAGAGAAGAAAATTGATGATATAGGACAGAGAGGGCAGAATTGTTGGGAGGATAGAGGGAACCAACTGACTGGGCTGCTGTTGTGGGAGTGGAGGCTGAGTGTCCAGAGTAGCTCTGAGTGACACAGGATTGACGGAGACTGGCAGCTAAATGCACTGATGGTTTGCACATGGCGCCAGGCTCCAGCTTTCAGGCTGCTTCTATTAGCAGAGGAAACAACCTTTCTGGAACATGATATTCTGGATGTTCTTTGGGCATATGGGTGCCCAAAGAACAAATTACCACTTAATACAGGGCAGCTGGCAATCAGAAAAATACGAATCTTCTTCCATGGACACTAAGGTGAAATGCCATTTCAACTGTAATTAGGATGAAGGGCAACTTCAGGTTAAATGGTGGTTGAAGAGCTTAATTAAATAAATGCAAAATCACCCAAGGAACATACTAAGTACTACAGCATTGGCAACAGATAACACCTTGGAAGAATCCCTGGGATAACACAAAAACTTAGAGGAAATGTGTCAAAGTGCTTTGTTAATTCTCTTCTTTCCCCCAGATTTTCCCTCAAGGATATTGTGGGGAAATGCATTTTGTGAGATTAGGAGAGGCTAATCAAATGAAATAGAGTGCGTGGATTCATATGTTAACTTGCTACTTATTAGCTGTGTGAGTTTGGACAAGTTATTTCAACTCTCCAAATGTCAGTTTTGTCATCTGTAAAATGAAGAAAATAATAAACACATCTACCTAATATCATGTGTTCATTTGAATCTAGGATTTAGAACAATGGAGGATTTAGAACAATGGAGGCTCTCAATAAATGTCCTTATCTTAAAGCTAATTGTTTTAATCTTTCTTTTCTATATAGACAATTTCTCTCTGTATTATATTCCTCTCATCAGCATTTATTTTAAAAATGCTTGATCTCGGGATGCCTGGGTAGCTCAGTCAGTTATGTGTATGCCTTCAGCTCAGGTCATGATCCCAGGGTCCTGGAATTCAGCCCCACCTCGGGGTCCCTGCTCAGTGGGGAGTCTGCTTCTCCCTCTCCCTCTGCCCCTCCACGCCCCCCACTTCGCTCTCTCTCTCTCTTTAAAGATTTTATTTATTTGTCAGAGAGCGAGAGCACAAGCAGGGGGAGCGGCAGGCAGAGGGAGAAGCAGGGTCCCCGCTGAGCAAGGAGCCCAATTCTGGGATCAGGACCTGAGCTGAAGGCAGATGTTTAACTGACTGAGACACCCAGGTGTCCCTTAAATAAATAAAATCTTAAAGAAAAAAAAAAAAAGATGCTTAGGGGCGTCAGTTAAGTCAGACCCTTGATTTTGGCTCAGGTCATGATAATGGTGTTCTGGGATTGAGCCCCGCCTTGGGCTCCGTGCTCAGCTCGTAGTCTGCTTGAATTTCTCTCCCTCTGCCCTTCTCCTGCTTGCGTGCTCTCTCTCTCAAATAAATAAATCTTTTTAAAAATTAAAAAATCTTCCATTTGAAAAGCAAAAATCCCAAACTTCCCTGATCTGGAAGTCCTTTTCCAATTGGGTGTCACTGTATGTTTATCACTAAAATAGTAGCGAAGGGGCGCCTGGGTGGCCCAGTCAGTTAAGCGTCTGCCTTCGGCTCAGGTCATGATCTCAGGGTCCTGGGATCGAGCCCCGCATCAGGCTCCCTGCTCTGTGGGAAGCCTGCTTCTCCCTCTGCCCCTCACCCTGCTTGTGTTCCCTCTCTCGCTGTCTCTCTCTCTCTGTGTCAATTAAATAAATGAATAAAATCTTTAAAAAAAAAAGATAGCCTGTTTCTACCTTTAAAAAAAAATAAAATAGTAGTGAAGGTGGTGGAGAGACAGAGATGGACTCTAGAAATTAAAGGGCTAAAAGTGGAAGGATGTGATTAAAACTCTTTAAAGGCTTTTTATGACAGCTAGATTAATCCAATGTCCTTGAGCCCTGCTTCTACTCCCAAGGCTTCCAACACACTAGCTTTCTTTCCATCTCTCTCTTAAAAAAAAAAAAAAAAAAAGACTTTGTGTGTGAGAGAGAGAAAGTGAGCACAAGCAGGGGGAGTGACAGGCAGAGGGAGAAGCAGACTCCCTGCTGAGTAAGGAGCCCAATGCGGGACTTGATCCCAGGACCCTGGGATCGTAACATGAGCCAAAAGCAGATGCTTAACCAACTGAGCCACCTTCCTTCCATCTCTTGAATATACCAAGCTCATTTCTGCTCAAGGCCTTTATATCTGCTACTCCTGCCTTCTATGTTCTTCTAGATTTGGCTTCTGCTCCTTATTCAGGTATCAGTTTAAATATCATTTCCTCGCAGCATTTATCACTACCTACAATGATCCTATTGCAGTTCCTGAAATGCTATAGGAGCATCATCAAGGGTCTTCACAGTCTTAGCGAGCCCTCATAGCCCCAATCTGAACAAGTCACTCCCTTGCTTCACTGCCCTGAGAATAAAGTATAAACTAATGTGGCCCTGGCTTACTTTGCCAGACTCATCTCTCTTTGTTTGTTTGGGGTTTTTTACTTTATTTATTTATTTTTAGTAATCTCTACACGCAACATGGGGCTCTTTGGACTGAGCCAGCCAGGCACCTCCACTAGTCTCATCTCTTGTCATTCCTCTTTTTCAGCTTAACTGAATTTTTTTTTTTAAGATTTTATTTATTTATTCATGAGAGATAGAGAAGCAGAGGCAGAGGGAGAAGCAGGCTCCCCGTGGAGCAGGGAGCCTGATGTGGGACTCGATCCCAGGACCCTGGGATCATGACCTGAGCTGAAGGCAGACGCTTAACCGACTGAGCCACCCAGGCGTCCCTTAACTGATTTATATATATTTGAGAGAGAGAGAATGAGAGAGAGCACATGAGAGGGGTTAGGGTCAGAGGGAGAAGCAGACTCCCTGCTGAGCAGGGAGCCCGATGCGGGACTCGATCCCAGGACTCCAGGATCATGACCTGAGCTGAAGGCAGTCGGTTAACCAACTGAGCCACCCAGGCGCCCTTAACTGAATTTTTTTCAGTCTCCCAATTGCCCAGTATTCTTTCTCACTTCCAGGTATCTCCTTCAGTGGTTCCTTCCATGACTGATTAAATTCTCTCTGAGGACCCTCTTTCCCCCCTCCTATGATAAGGCAGTTTATAATATATAATTGAGCACAAAGATTATTGAGCCAGATATACTGGGTTGATTTTCAGCTCCATTATTTACTGCGTGACCAGGACAAGTAACTTCTCTCTCCTTCAATTTATTTATCTATAAAATAGGGATAGGGTTATTGTGATGATTAAAAGAACTGATATGTATAAAGGACTTAGAACAGTTCTTGACACATAGTAAATGTTATTCAAGTGTTTGTTGTTATTATTATATGTCCCCTACTAGACTGTAAGTTCTATGAGGACAAAGACAATATATATTGTTCACTGCTGTATCTCCTATACCTACAACAGTGTCTAACACATAATGGGTACTCAATAAATATTTGCTCAGTGAATGAATAAATGATATTTCTTTAGATAGATTGGCTCTACCTTTGTGGTGTCAACATGGCTGCAGCATCTCCAGGATTTTACATCTTCTCACATCCAGTTTTAGTTGGAAAGAGCCAACAGATTTCCCCTGAAGGAAAGTTCACCATGTGCATTTAAGCTCTGACTGGGTTACATGCCCATTCCTGAAACAATCACTGTAGCTTAGAGAATGTTACGTGCTGAATCACTTGGGTCTGGGTTATGTACTCCATGCCTGGGGTGACCTCATCCAAATCACAGGGTCTGAAAATGGAGTAGAGGTAGTTCTCAGAATGATTATCATTGGATATAATGATACTTGGCAGGAAAAAAAAAATCTGCTATTCTGCCCTTGGTAAGAAATTCAAGTAGGTTGGGGTGCCTGGCTGGCTCAGTTGGGAGAGCATAGGACTCTTGATCTTAGGGTTGTGAGTTTGAGCCCCACATTGGGTGTAAAGATTACTTAAAAATAAATAAATAAACAAATAAATAAGCTTAAAAAATAAATCTATATAAAAAGAGAAATTCAAGTAGGGAAATGGTTCAGGAGACCCTTATGGTTCAAATATAATGAGATATGCTGTTGGGGCACCTAGCTGGCTCAGTTAGGGAAATGTGCAACTCTTGATCTTGGGGTTGTGAGTTCGAGTCCTACAGTGGGTATAGAGATTCCTTAAATAAATAAACTTAAAAAAAAAAAAGAAGATATGTCATTATCATGTAGATTCCAGCAGAGGACTTCATGTGGTGGTAGAATTAGGAAAATATGGTTCCCAGAAGCTTCAGGGTCAGCTTTGACCTTTTTTTTTTTTTACACATCCATTCATCAGAACATAGTGTCAATATTAATTCTTCCTCCTTTCTGGCTCTGCAATTTCTCTGTGGTGCTAAATGTGCTCTTGTTCCAAAGGGTAATACTTTTGCAAGTAATGACAACTCTCCCAAGTCAGGAGCTAGCTTCTGGTTTTGGTTCTGGGCCCCACCACCCTACTCTGTCAGCAGTTGTATTTTACTCTATATATGTCAAGAGGTGGGAGGCAGTTCAGACATGAGGCATGCACTTTTGTGTAGATTTGCTTCTCTAGGGACTGAATTATGCTAATCTATATACTGTTTTTCCACAGCAACATATAGCTATCTACATAAAAGTCACATGCATCTGATGAGTAAAATATCCTCAGGTTCCTAGGTGCTACAGGGCCTAACCATTCATTTCTTAGTGACTTGAGAATTCCATTATATGCATTTTTAAAAGATTTCTTTTTTTTTTAAAAGATTTATTTATTTATTTGAGAGAGCGAGAATGAGAGAGAGAGAGAGAGAGAGAGTACATGAGAGGGGGGAGGGTCAGAGGGAGAAGCAGGCTCCTCGCTGAGCAGGGAGCCCGATGCGGGACTCGATCCCAGGACTCCGGGATCATGACCTGAGCCGAAGGCAGTCGCTTAACCACCTGAGCCACCCAGGCGCCCCAAAAGATTTCTTTTTTTAAACTTTTAAAAAAATATTTATTTATTTGATACAGAGAGAGCACAAGTAGGGGGAGCGGCAGGTAGAGGGAGAAGCAGACTCCCCGCTGAGCAGGGAGCCTGATGCGGGACTCGATCCCAGGATCCTGGGATCATCACCTGAGCTGAAGGCAGACGCTTAACCGACTGAGCCACCCAGGTGCCCGAGATTTATTTCTTTTAGAGAAAGAAAGAGAGAGGAGAACGAGCAGGAGGGGCAGAGGGAGAGGGAAGAGAATCTCAAGCTGACTCTGCGCTGAGCGTGGAGCCCCATGTGGGGCTCGATCTCACGATCCTGAGGTCACCACCTGAGCCAAAACCAAGAGTCAGATGCTTAATTGACTGTACTACCCTGGCGCCCCTATATGCATTTTTAAAAAGATTTTTATTTATTAATTTATTTGACAGAAAGAAACACATCTAGAGAGGGAACACAAGCAGGGGGAGTGGGAGAGGGAGAGGGAGAAGCAGGCTTCCCACTGAGCAAGGAGCCCGATGCGGGGCTCGATCCCAGGATGCTGGGATCATGACCTGAGCTGAAGGCAGACGCCCAACCATCTGAACCACGCAGGCACCCCGCCCCTGCATTTTTAATTAGTAATTTGTAATTAGTAATATTAGCGACACTCCATTTTCAACATTCTCAAATTTACTGTAGGGCCTATTCTTGCTTCTTTCCAAAATGAGGGAAAAATTTCCTTAGTCTTAGATTAGGAATTGAAACATTCATATCAGATCCTGGGATCAGGAGTAGTTTTTCTTTCTCTAGAAGTACAAAGAATATAACACCTTTCACAGAAAGAATAGAACTGCTCCCCCTCCACTTCTCCTCCTTGATCTTCTTTTGCCTTACATTATATTTTGTTCCTATCTCTCCAAACTCTGAACTGTAGAGGGAAGACTGGGCTGGAGATGGAATGGGGGTCATGGCAATAAGGAGAGAGTTTAGTCCTGTGTCTCCTCTTCCCTTCTACTTAAGTGCACTGCCCTCAGCTGTCAAGTCTGTACTGGATTTCCAAGACTCAATTAAGCCTAGTCTTTTGTTTGGCTATGCCAAGGCCGCACAATGGTCTAGGAACTGATGGTTGGGTCTCCATGGGCTAAAGGTCTAGTTTTTGTTAACCAGTTTGCACAAGGGCCAGGCTTCATAGTGAGAGCTGGAAAGTAGGGGACTATTAGCCTGCAAGTCCCTCGATGGCACATATGAGATGCCTCGAACATTTTTGTCCAGTAAACAGTATGCGCTTGATAAACAGACTGAACTTAGCAGTGTCCCAAAGAAGTTTAAGCGCAGTCACCGCCTTGACAAGATCCTCGGGGCTTCTGAGCACCTCCTGGCCAGTAGTGTATTCTGGGATGTCAAAGTTGCCTCTTACACAATTAGCCGCAATGCATTCTAGATGTGACCGTCTTCTTGAAAGAAATCTGAAGTTCATTATCAGTCACCTCAGAGCATCTGCATTCAGGCCTTCAAGAGTAAGTAGGAGCCAGAATCTTAAAAGTGTCATTATGTCTATGGCTCCTTATGGGCATCGTGGTCCAAGGGTTTAGTAACCTAGACGAGGTATCCAGAGGCCTTGGACCTGGGGTCAGCCGCCAAAGCCTGTAAGCCTAACCACGCCTCCAAGCCAGCGGCCATGTCCACCTGAGACCGTAGGGTCCAGGGCATCAGGCACTGAAGAAGACGCCTCGGCGCGGGCTGCGCAGGCGCGGGCGTCCGTAGAGGGCCCCGGCACTCCAGGCTGCGCAGGCGCATGAGCGGCTCCCGGCGAGTCCCGACGGCGGCGGCGGCTACTGAGGGGCCGGGGCGTGGAGCAGCGGTGGCGGCGGCGGGCGGCAACGGAGCAGCCATGAGGGCCGTGCCCAGTCACCGACAGTGAGTGATGGTGGAAGAGGGGTGGGCGGCGGGAGAGAAGAGGGGTGGCCTGGTGGAAGGATACCTCGACCTGGGGGGGGGGGCTCTGCCTGTCGGCGGCGAAGGGGCGTGGGGGAGGGACAGTTTGAGGTGATGATGGGAGAATTTGGGGCATAGGTGGCCGGATCGCCCGCGCCAGGGCTGGACAGCTTGGCGGAGGGAAGGAGCCCACGGCAGGGGCAGTGTCCGCGCTTCCCGGTTTGTCATCGTCCCTTCCCCCAGGAGCTTTCGGTCGCCTCTCCCTTTCCGCTTCTTTCAGAGAATGGTCGCGGGGGGAGGGTGGTGGAGGATGAAAGCCCTGCTGGAGCTGAAGAAGCTAACTCTGATCCAGGCAGGGAAGGGCCGGTCGCCCGGAGTCACGGGCTTTTCTGGGCGGAGGACGGGAGTCAGGAGCCCTCCGTTTAAAGCTGGGAGGGATCTAGGGAAAAAAAGCTAGGGCTTAGAGTCTTGACAGGTTCGAAACCACGTCCACCATTGATAAAGCTGATAGATAACCTTGGGCAGGTCCCACTTAACCTTTCTGAACCTCTGAAAGATGCAATGCTTCAGTGGGCTATTGGAAGCATCATGTATGTGATTGAGATTGCTGATGAAAACTGTAAATTGTAGGTACTATGCCGATGGTATTGTATCACCAACAATATTACTGGATTTTCGATCTTATCGTTACTAGTAGAATGATTGATTTCTTTGTCAAGGCGAAGCATATTGTTTGTCAAACCTCGGTAGGCACATATGTGCGTTCTACGTAGGCACGGTAGATCATGTGCAAAAATACCAGTTTGTGATGTGACTAATTAGCCATCAGACTTGTGTAGGAAAAATACCATACTCCTGGGCATTTTTACAAATGGTGTGTAGCTCCTACTCAAGAGGAAGGAAATAGAGAATGGAGGGCCAATCTGTTAAATGCTTTCAGAACATAGCTCACTTACGTTCCTTGTAACACAGTTGGTACTAGTGTGCTTTATTATGAGTCGAGAAAACTAGTTTGAAACAAGCTGGGAGGGCTGCACAATGAGGGATGTGCAAATACAATTTATTTTTAAATTGTAAAAAAGTTTTCTTTTGCAAGGGCGTTTCTGGTTGCCCTAGGGCCCTGTCTCTATTTTGGAGGTCAGATAAGCATATAGCAGCTTTTCAGCTCCAGTTTTTGTTACCCTGCCTGTGGAACCTCCAGGGTGGAGTGTCTCAGAGAAAGACAGAAGCAGCTGTGCAAGAGCCCAAGAGGTGGCTGGTTCTTTTCTGAGAGGCTGAAGAAGCACTCCTGAGGCTTTGTTGTTGTTCTTGTTGTTATTTAGGGTAGGCAAAGCAGAGGACAGAGTTAAACCATGTGCTTCTAGAGAGAAAATGGCTTTCTAGCTACAGCTTTTGAAAGAGGTGAAACTTCTTTCAAAAGGACAGAAGCAGACAGATGCTTCAGCTTTGCTGGCTATGAAGATTGATTGAAAGCTTGAAATGGCGAGGCCTTTTGGAAATTAGTGAGTGATTTGTCTTTCATCTGAGCAAAGGTAGGGAGTGGCTGTATTAGATCCTTAAAGATTCACAGATAAGAACAGTGAATTATTTTATAGGAATGGGCGAAATGAATCCTAGTTGTCTTTAACTTCTCCATCTGGTAAAACGTGTTTTACCTCTCTTTCCTGGAAATGCACAGTGATAAATTATTTTTAATTTTTTGCTCTAGTTCCTTGGCTCTCCCAATAAGTATCCATAACACTGATTCTTCTTCTTTTTTTTTTTTTAGAGGGTAATTTTAAAAAGAAAGCACTTGTTACTCTTGTCATAGGTCATTTACAGAATACAAATTTATTCTGTTTTGACTTCCACACAGAAGATGAAGTAGAGGTATAAAATGTTAGAGCTGGTCTAGCTGTCCTATTTTATTTTAATAATTGGGCATTTATTTTTAATTTTGGTAATGTATTTTTCCCTCTACTGGAAATTTCCATTGGTTCAGACAAGTCCATAATGCAGTTTGTGTTATTTTAAAATGATAGAGGTTTGTTCAGCTGTGATGAGAATTTCCTGTCCTTCTCTCTATTCTTTTTCCTATTTGTGGTTATTTTTATGTAGTAGATGACTGTTATCAAATGGAGAGTCTTCCCCTGGGGGAGAGAAAGGGTATGGTCAGTGCTTTGATTACCTGTTGTGTGAGCAATTTGTCTAAAGTGGGGATGTAAAGGGTGCCTGGGTGGCACAGTCTGATAAGGGTCTGACTCTTGGTTTCAGCTCAGGTCATGATCTCAGGGTCCTAAGATCAAACCCTGCACCGTGCTCAACGGGGAGTTTGCTTGGGATGCTTTCTCTCCCTCTCCCCTTCCTGCTTGTGCTTGTGTGCTCTCTCTCAAATAAATATATAAATCCTTGTTTTTTTATTTTTTATTATTTTTTAAAAATTTTATTTATTTATTTGACAGAGAGTGAGAGAGCACAAGCAGGGGGAGCAGCAGAGGGAGAGGGAGAAGCAGGCTCCCCGCTGAGTGGGGAGCACGATGCAGAGCTTGATCCCAGGACCCTGGGATCATGACCCGAGCCGAAGGCAGACATTTGACTGAGCCACCTAGGTGCCCCAGAATAAATAAATAAATCTTAAAAAAAATATTTAACAATAAAAACAAAGTGGGGACGTAAGGACTTCTCGTGAATCTCTGAGATAGCAATTGCTAAAATAAAAGGAATTAGTGGTTGCTACCTCATTTTTATTCTGGTTTTAAAAATTTATTATTTATTTATTGGAGGGAGAGAGTCAGAGATAGCGAGAGAGAGAGCAGTAGCAGGGAGGAGAGGGAGAAGCAGGCTCTCTTCTCAGCAGAGCTTGACCCCAGAACCCTGGGATCGTGACCTGAGCCGAAGGCAGAAACTTAACCGACTGAGCTACCCAGGCGCCCCATTCTGATAAAATTAAAAAAAAAATTTTAAGATTTTATTTATTTACTTGAGAGAGAGTGTGACAGAAGCAGACTCCCTGCGGAGCAGGGAGCCTGATGTGGGGCTCGATCCCAGGACCCTGGGATCATGACCTGAGCCAAAGGCAGACACTTAACTGGTGGAGCCACCCAGGTGCCCCCAAATTAAAAATTTTTAAAAAGCATCTCATGCCTCAGGGGAAAACTGTTTATTTATTTGTTTGTTTGCTTGTTTATTTATTTAGTAGGCTCCACACCCAGCGTGGAGCCCAACTCAGGGCTTGATCAAGCGTTGGACCCTTAACCACCTGAGCCACGCAGGTGCCCCAGGGGAAAACTTTTTAAAACAGTCTATTTAAAAACAAAATTATGGTGCTAAAAAATAAAAACAAAATTAGGTGTTTTTACCTCTCTCTCTTTTTTACTTTGAATATTTGCTTGTGAACAGAGTCTTTGTTCCTTTAGAGCGCTTTTGATCTTGTCACCCATTCCTTAACTGTCTTTTGTGATATTTTCACAGCTGCTGATAATTGAGCACAAAAGTTTTTTTTGTGGTTGTTGTTTGTTTTTTGTCAGTTGTTTGGTTCTTGATAGAGTGATAAAAACTTTAAAGGAGGGCTGTATGGGAAGATGTTAAAAAGGAAAAGTAAGGAGGAAAGCAGATTAACTTAGTGAATTTGTAGGTTATTCTGTTGTTTGGAGGGTGAAGTATTCAAGAGTGTGTATATGATTCAGAGTAGCCTCCTGAGGACCAGGTTTTGCTTACCGGTGTTTTAGCAGAGTGCATAGCTGCCCTAGAGTAATTGCTTATTAATATTTGCTGAATGAGGGGGGTGCCTGGGTGGCTTGGTCAGTTAAGTGCCTGACTTTTGATTTCTGCTCAGGTCGTGATCTCAGGGTTGTGAGATCGAGCCCCCTGGGTGGCCGGTACTCAATGGGGAGTCTGCTTGAGATTGTTTCCCTTTCCCTTTGCCCCTCCCCCGGCTCTCTCGACTGTGCTCTGTCTCTGAAATAAATAAATCTTTATTATTTTTTTTATTTTTTAAAGATTTTATTTATTTGACAGAGAGAGACAGCGAGAGCGGGAACACAAGCAGGGGGAGCGGGAGAGGGAGAAGCAGGCTTCCCGCCGAGCAGGGAGCCCTATGTGGGGCTCGATCCCCGCACCCTGGGATCATGACCTGAGCCAAAGGCAGACACTTAACGACTAAGCCACCCAGGCGCCCCTGTAATACCTTATTTAATCAAATCTGTGGTACCAATGATTGTAAGGCTCACAATTACTTTAACAAGAAAGAAGAAAGAAATGCTGCTAATGAGACTGGCATGCCATCAGTTGTAAGGTATATCCTGTTTTTAGAGAAATGTGGGAAGGAAAGTATGTCTTAGAATTGATGAAATACAGTAAGTTCTCTACTAGGGGAGGTACAGCTTGTTGTGAGAGTTGATGGAAGGCTGGGTACAGGTATTGTCAGTAAAGGCCCCTTGCATAACCTGCGTGATATACCCTCACAGATGGAGAAGGAAGATAGGGCATTCCAAGCAGACAGTAAAGTCTGAAAATGGGAAGGGAGAGGGCATTATCAATGTGCACCACCACATCAGGACAAGAGTGAGGAGGAAATGAGCTAAGACTTCAGCAAAGTAACATTGTATAATACAGCAGAACAGGACAGGAAGCTTGGAACATTTTCAGAAGAGACAGGAGCCTAAGTCTTGATTTCAACTCCTAAAATGTAATAGCAACTCTCAAAAGATGATACTAATATAATAAAGTGGGAAGTGAGAGTAGTGTGAGAAGCAAAGTGGCCTGGGGAAGGATTGAAGCTTCACAGCTGACCAGAGTGTGAAGTGTGAAGTCACTGTACTCATGGTGAGAGGTGAATGCTTTTTCAGCAGAGAAGTGTTTAATATCTATTTCTGTCTTTTCACTGGGTATCAAGGTCTTGATTATGTCCCTTTTAGAGCTTTGTAACTTAAGAGTGACAGGAAATACAACTCGAGGAAAAATGCTAAATTTTCTTTTTTAAAAATACATTTAGGGGCGCCTGG